GCTATAAGGATTTTTTTAACCAGTGTTCAAACATTCGCTCGAAAAATGGTGGTTTTAGTAGCAAGCGTAAAATAATAATTCACTTTCAGCTAATTCTAAAGTGAATTATTATTGACAATTTGAGGAAGACAGAGATATTTGACCGCTACAAAGTAACTAATTACATGCTCATATCGTAGCATACAAAAAATTGAAATTGAAAAAATTAACATTTTGTTTCGAAAATTGACCACGCTGTTGTCTTTTAGAATTTTTTTGCAGCTGTCAACTTTTATGTTTGGAATAAAAGAGTTAAAACGATTTTATTTAATACTTTGCAGTGAATCTTTACAAAAAAAAAAACAAGTTATTGCGATTACATCTAAAAAATTCTGTATAAAAGTTACTCATCTTTTCTGGAGCACTTGAAATGGCCAAGTGTTGTAACTTTTTCGTCCCCGATAACTCTCAAGATCAAATGTGGACCTTGTGTTTGACATGAATGTATAAAAAAAGCTCGAAATGGGCTTTAGGCTAGTCAAATCTATTTCTCAATTCCTGAACTTCTGACAGAACTGAATGCGTATACTTTCGGGCATATAAGATGCGGCATTAATTCAAGACCTTTCTGGGTCTCTCTAATGCATTACAGCGGCAACCAGCATTGACCCATTTATCAGACCGTCGTCACTAATATCTATTATCGATTTTTAAACTGTGGAACATTTCACCAGAAAATTGCTATAGAAATTTGAAATCAAACCATTTTGATGGTTCTCTTCAGGATACGATGTGAACCGAGAACACAAAAAAATACACACATCTTGTAAAACACATCGCTGGCATAGGTCAGCAGATTAACATCATAGAGAATCGGTTTCTGAAGAAACGACAAACAACTACTGCCCCAATGGGGTTCAAATTTCAAACCATTTTCAGTGCATGTACAATGCCACTCTAAAAAACACTCAAGGAACATTTTTCTTCTTTCCATCAAGCCCATCGCCAACATAGAACAACTGTTCAGGATGACATACCACTTTATTCTAAATCGTAAGGCACACAACTACCACCTAAGCAATCAAATAGAAGGTGGACACCATTAGTGAAATCCTCACAGCAGAATTCTGTTACAGTTATTGTAACTACTTTTATCCGCGTAAAACTCATGGTCCATAATAAAATCTAATGAATATACTACACCATACGATTCTTCATCGATTGAATTACAACCACTCTATCGGTGATGAAATCGAACGTAGGATTCACTGTCACAGACGCCAAGCCCTGCTTTCCTGGAATCATTTAAACCATCTTTTCACTTTTAAACTCATGGCTGAGAGAGAAAACCTCATGAATATCCAAGAGCATACGATTCTGCTTTTCTTAATACACAACTCCTCTCTGGGCAATGAGCTTGAAAGTTAGATCCCTTCGAAAAACTGGAACAATCGTACAAAAGTACAATTACAAAACTAACTATTTTTGGCTATGGGACTCATTCCTGAGAGAGAAAAACTTGTGAACTTGATACAGCTTTCAAATGCGAATCGAATTATGTACAACTTCTTTCTTGGCGATCAGTTTGACAGCGCGCACGGTCCCAAGAATAAACAATAGTACAAAAGTAAACTGAAAAAAAAATTAATTTTTTTCTGTACTAAACTGATTCCCAAGAGAGAAAGACTAGTGAGTTTGAAAGAGCATTGAATTACAAATAAAATGATATATAACTTCTCTCTCGGCTATGAGTTCGAGAATGAATAGAGCCCCAAGTATAAACAAAGGTACGCTAGTCCAGTTATAGACAGAATTTTTTTTCTTTGTGAAACTAATTGTCAGGGGAGAAGGACTAGTGAATTTGATACAACATCGAGTTGCGCATCGAATCATGTGTGCATACGGTCTCGGAAATGAGGTAGAAGGTGGAAGACAATCCTTAAATGAATACTGTAATGTTCGAGTACAGTAAAGTATTTTTTTTTATCTAACTCTTTTCGGTTTAAGTGAAAGATATGTGCGTTGGATGCAGTGCTTTATGGTGAGTTGAAGGTTATTTTAAGGTCTGGGGTCTGGGTAGTTTTTGAGATCTAGCTGGTGGTCCTATGTGTCTGTTTATAGGATTCAGTAGATTTTTTTAACGTTGAGTAGTGAGTTTTCCTGTGGGATGGTGTACTGTTTTGTGAGATGATTCAAAATATTAATGGATTGAATAGTTTTGTCTTTACTGCTGAGGTACGCTGAGGAGGAAGTAAATAGTTAGTTTTGAATTTTTCCTGCACTTTTGTATTGGATGATTTGTCGTTAATGACATCGTTGATCTCCTCACAAGTGTGACGATAGATAAATATGATAGAATAATTTCAAGATCTAAATTTTCGATATATTGCACGTCTTAAAAGTAGCGAACATGCGGGAACTCAGTGAAAGCACTGTTCATTATAAGATTAGTCATCATTCCTGATAGCTTATCTTTGATGAGGAAATCGTGTTGTGTTGGGCTATGTACTGCATGGAACGTTTGTGACATTCAATACAGTATGAAATTATAGCTTCGGCTATCATATCTTGTATGGTATGGCATGCTGTGGTATAGAGGAACTGAGGAGACGGCGATAAGCTTTGTTTTACGTAAAGGTCAGGAGTATTATGATGATAGAAGTTGTTGCTTTTTTTGTAAGAATTCTAAAATTTACATTTGCTTGTGGGGCTCCTTGGGCTTGGTGTTTTTCAACAAGTATACTTTGGTAACTAAGGAAAATATGTTGGTATTTGTTGGATTGTGTTAGGTATTTTATGCTGGTTTTTTTCATTGGTGGATTATATCTATAATAGGAGTGGTCGTTATGGTAGCTTCACGTCGATTTAGGGTCTTGAGTGGACTAATGTTTTATTTTCTTTGCATGTCAAATGTATTGCATTCACAAAAAAAAAAACAAAAAGCACAAAAAAACAACTACGATTTCACTACACACAAAAACAGCACAAACAGTTAGGAATGTAATCAAACATAACCATTTTATTCAATTGTTGTTTTTCGTTTTCAATACTCCTCCATCACTTATCCTTATTGAAAGACACAACAAATTACATTAAAATCTAATTTTTCTATGTAAGTCTATTCGTTAGAAGATATTGATTTTGATTTATAGATCTTTTTCGCCAGTGACAGTTTCTTTGATTGTTTCAGCAGCATCAACAACTTTATCTTTAATTGTTTCAACTGTTTCAGTTACAGATTCTTTAAGTGATTTAAATGAAAGAAGAATATTTGCACGATGTTGTAATTCTTCTCTTTTTTCACTGGTAATCTAAAATAAAATTATAAAGTATAATCATAAATAGAAACTCAGAATTAAAATATCAAGCTCATTACGAAATTCAAAATCTTTCATTCATTTTATCAAAAACATCAATATATTAATTTAACATAATACTTGTAAAGATCAATTTCATAGCAAAAAATATTTCTCAAACATTAGCATATTATTAATTTTTACTAAGTTTAAATTTTCTAATTACCTTTCCTTTCAATAAATTTTGTACACGTCGTCCTTCACGTTTAAGAAATTCAACACCTTGTTTAACAACTGTTTCCATGATCTTTATATAAGATTCACCACTATCATAAGATAAATAGTCAAATGTATTTTAAAAAGACATACATTCTTTTTTTTTTCTTCATACCTCTTTTGATCTTTTTTATCAGTTAAACCTTTAACTAATTCTCGTGCTTTTTCAAGTAATGATTTTTGATTTGTTTCATCATTTGCTGATGATGCATCGAAAAATTCTCGGGATATACGATCTAATAGCTCAAGTGTACCGGGTAAACCAAACCAAAGATCTGAAAATAATAATAAATTTTTTTTTTCTAAATTTAAAACCTAATTTTTCGTTTTCATTTTACCTGTATTTTGTGAAAGAAAACGTTTAAGATCATTTTCAGTATTATCACCTGTATAATCAATTGGTTTAGATTTTCCTTTAAGAAATAATTTATATGCTGGAAAATCTGCCTTCGTTACACTATATTCTTTAGCTAATTCTTCATTTTCTTTATCACCATAATCTGTTATTGGAATTTCAGCTAAAAGAAGATTTTTTGTATTAGCTACACTTTCAGCAAATTTCTTAAATTCATCTTGTTTATCACCATAAGCTGAAAAAGAAAACAATCAAATTTAAATTTAATAGAAGTTCTCTTGACAAAAAAAAAAGTAATAATACATACGATATTTATCATCAAATTTTGCTAAGACGGCATCAAAATTACGTATGATTTTATCAAATGTATATTTATCAACAGTTACTGTTCCCGGTGTATGAGCTTTGTTTGATGTAATTAGTAAGAAGAGTGCAGCACAAAATGAATAAAGAAATTTCATCGTTTAGTAAAAGTGAATAAGAAATTAAAAAAAAAGACGCAATCTGCAATTTAAAATTGTTGAAAATGAAATGATGGTTCGAATGAGTGAAGGACAAATATATGTAACTTGCTTTACATGAGAAGGAGCATAAAAGCAACCAATGAGAGATTGACGCGATTTTACATGTCATCGATAGTGGTGACATCAACTACCTTTTCGATTTAGAAAGTTCCGGAATGAAAAAAAAAGTAAGTATATCGTTTTCAATATATTCTTCATCCTTGATTGATCGATGCGAAAGAACAAGACAAAGTTTGATGAAAGAAAAAAGTATGTGCATAAAAATAAAATATCAAAAAGCTTAACTCAGTAAATGCCGAGTATATATATTGCTTTTTCTGATAGAAGGAAAAAAATAAGGAGAAGTTGAGCTACATTAAAATGTGCAATAAACACATACGCTTGAATATTTATAAGAATAAGTATAAAGAAGAAAAAAAAAATCCACAAACATTGATTGATACAAGCTGTCTACAACATTTTTTATACACAAACGGGAAATTGTCTTTTTTTCCTGAAAATCAACAACAAACACATCAGACTTGAATATAATATATAAAATAAACATGATGTAAGATCAGTTTTTTGACTTTATAATTCCAGTTTCTTCTTAGCATCTTTAAAAAGTTCTTCAGCTTTTTCTTTACCAGCCTCATATACTTGTTCAACATATTTTTCAGTTTTTTCAAGTGCTTCTTTGCCATATTCTTGACCCATTTCAACAGCCTTGGCTGCATATTCTTTTCCAGCTAAAAGAAAGAAAAAAAGACAATCGATGATTTTTTTTTTTGTTCTTTAATTTCTATCGTCAAACCTTCAATGGCTTCTGGAACTTTTTCTTTTAACATTTCACCAGCTTGAGCTGTATATTCACTAGTAGTTTTGTAAGCTTCAGAAGCAAATTCTTTTGCACCTATACAAAGTAACAAAAGTCTTAATCGTTTTCTGCATTTCTCGTTTTTGTTTTTAAAAACCTACTTTTGATTGTTTCACCAGCAGCATCATCTAATTTTTCTTTAGCTACTTCTTTGAAAGTTTGACCTTGTTTGAGAAATTCTTCAGCATATTCTCTGAACAAAGAAAAGAATTTATTTATTGAATTAAAAAAAAAGATTTTAAATAACATCAAAACTTACGTAGCCTTCTCCTTGACAATTTCAGCACCTTGTGCTAAATACTCACTACCTGCTTCAGCAGCTGTAGCAGCTTTTTCACTAATTATTTCAGCATATTCTGTACCAACTTTAGCTGCTTCAGTAGCTTTTTCTTTAAGAATATCAGTTGCTTCAGCTGTTTTTTCTTTGAGAACATCAGTGGCCTCACGAACTTTTTCCTAAAGAAAGATAATACTAACGAAGTTTACTTTAATTGATGATACGCACTTTCACGATTTCAGCACCTTAAAAAAAAAGAGAATAATTTCATTTAATTCAACAAAATAAAGAATCTTTGTTTCCCTACCCGCGGCAGCTGTTGGTGCAACATAGTCATTGTATACTTCTTGTGTTTTTTCAGCAGTGGCATGAGCTGCCTCAGCAACTTTATCTTTTACTGTATGGAATGTATCAGAAGCAGCCGGTACAACCTTTTAAAATTTTCAATATAGTCTATGAATAGATTTTTTCTTATCTTACATATTCATTAAATACTTCTTGAGTTTTTTCAATACCAGCATGTGCTGTAGGAAGAACATATTCATTGTATACTTCTTGTGTTTTTTCAGCAGTGGCATGAGCTGCCTCAGCAACTTTCTCTTTTACTGTATGGAATGTATCAGAAGCAGCCGGTACAACCTTCAAAATTTTCAATATAGTCTACTAATAAATTTTTCTTTCTCTTACGTATTCGTTAAAAACTTCTTGAGTTTTGTGAGCACCAGCAGCAGTATATTCTTTTGTTGCTTTAGCAGCATCGGCCGCTGCTTCTTGACCAACTTTAGCTGCTGATGAAGCAGCATCAGCTACATAATCACCTACGAAGAAAAATATATTAATTAAATAAAATTAAAGAACTAATGTTCGTATCAGAGCTACAGAGAAGTAGATGTAATCTTTAAAACTTAACAATAACAACAATTATTGATCTGCTGTTTTCAGAAATCGAAAGATGAAAAAGTCGGAGGTTTCGTTTTTCTTATATTATATAAGATCAAATGAATATAAATGGAATACCATTTTCATTCAATATTTTTTTTTAATGCCTTGGAAACATAAAAAATTTTGAAATCAATTTGTCTTATATAATATCCGATCAAAAACCATGTCCGGAGATCTGATGTTGCGATTACTAACAACTGCAGGTAGATAGCTGTTACCTTTGTCAACTTATTGAACTTATATTTATCACTCTATTATTCTGGTACGAATACTAGTTGATAATAATAAGTATTTAAAATCTATTTAGCTAATTAAAACTATACAAATTCTAATTTGATCATTCGTATAAGAGATTAGAATTAATTTTAGAAAATTTCTAATAAGTCTTCTCTTTCTCTAATGCAAAAATAACTATTTCTTAACTAACCAGCAGTTTTAGCAGCATCACTTGCAAATTTTGCTCCAGTTTTAGCAGCATCACTTGCTAATTTTGCTCCAGTTTTAACACCATCCGAAACTGTATCTTTGATGTGTGTAGCCCCATCGACAACCGTATCTTTAATGTGTGTAGCTTCATCGACAACAGTATCTTTAATGTGTGTAGCTCCATCGACAACAGTATCTTTAACTGTTTTTTGTTTACCATATGCAATTGAAATGTAACATACGATAAGAATAAATAATAAAAATTTGCGTAAAATTCCCATTATTATTTTGTTGTATTGAAATATTCGATAATATTTGATTGTATAAATACTACAAATAAAAAAAAACAAAATTCTTTTTAAAAATTTAATAAAAATATAGACGTTTCTAATTAACTTCGTTTTTTATTTGTAAAGAAAGATAAACATGTATGTATACCACGAAACACAAAAAAGATACGCTATAAAGAGGAAATAAAAGAAAAAAACAAAAACACCGCTCTATACATATGACTGTTTTTATTTTTTCATTACCACTGTATGAATATAATAATTACATATATTGTAAAACAATTTTGTCTACGATATACATATAAATATCCATATAGTTAGTATAGAAAAAATAGACACCGAAAGAAGAAAACACAAAAGATCTGGAATGATATGATAAATAATAAAAGAAATGAATATGAACAACACACAAAAATGGCTAGATGGAATTTTGCAGAAATAAATGTTGGTTTTTTTTTCTTACTTGCTTGATTAAATTTGTTTTAGATAAATTTAAAAAAAAATAAAAACAACACAAAATAATGTTTAGGAAGAATAGGTTTGAGGAATAGAAAAATGTCATCAAAAGAAAGAAAAAAAAGCAATGAATGCTAATTCTTATGGACTAGTTGTTTGTAATTATATTTATAGGTCAAGTGTATCTTTAGCATCTTTTTTCACTTGTTTAGCAGTTTTTTGTGCTTTACCAGAAAGTTCTTCAACTTTTTCTTTAGCTTGATCTGCTAAATCAGCTGTATGTTTAGATGCTAATCCAATAGTTTCTAAATAAGAAGATTTTCTTTAGAAAATAATTTTCTCTTAAAAAATTTTGTTTTTTTTTTTTTTTTTTACCAAAAATTGAATTTTTAATATCGGTAAGAACATTATAGACTGTATTAAGAAGACCTTCACTTTGTTTTTTTGCATCTTGTGCTGCTGTTTTAACTTTATCACCAGCATCACTAGCTTGTCGCTTTAATTTTTCACCTGTATTACTTGCTTGTTGTTTTATTTTTTCACCTTGTTCTAATTATAGAAGAAACGCAATTAAATAAATATAGAAATAAAAAACTCAATATTTACTTGATGCTTGGTCAGCAACATTTTCAGCTGCTTTCTTCGCTGATTTAGCAGCATCACCAGCCACATTTTCAACTGTTTTCTTTGCTGATTTAGCAGCATCACTAGCTGCATCTTCTCTAAAAAGATTGAATTATAAAATGAACTAAATTATTTTTTTTTTTCTTTTCTTTTAAAGAAACTTACAAATCGTCAATACTTTCACTTGCTTTTTTTCGAAGATTTTCACCAGCAGCTTTAGCTTCATCAAGTTTTTTACTTGCTGTTGCTTTAGCATCTTCAGCAACTTTTTGACCAGATGCAAGTGTTTCAGCTAAAAAAGAATAAAAATTTTTTTTTATTAAAATATTTTGAAAGTAAAAAAAATGGATTTTCAATTTGATTTTTATCAAACAACACAAATGATAATATCATGTTTATAATTCTTTTGAAAAAACAAAAATATAATTTACCAGCTTTATCTTTTAATGTATCAACATTTTCATTGATAGTATCAGAAGCTGATTGAGCGAAAGCTTTAGCATTCGCAACACCTTCATTAACTCCATCGACGACTTTATCCTATAAGAAAAACAAAAGTTAAAATACAAAACTTTTTTTTTGTCGTAACATACTTTTAATTTTTCACCTTGATTTAATGCTGCTGATGCTTTATCTTTAATATCATCTTTCAAATTACCATTAGCAATGGCAAAGAATACAATAGACAAAATTAGTATACGAAACATAATGTATAATATATGACTTTTTTCGATATAGTCGATAATAAAAATGAATCTAAAATAAGAAAAATGCAGTTAGTGAACCTTCACGTGGCACATCTACACTCATGAGTCGAACAATATATACTGCAAGTTTGTACTGCTTTTCCTCGGCGATAAAAGAAAACATATGGGAGGGCATAGAGTACATCGGCGCCACGTGCAAATAAGTAATATAATATGTCGTAATAATGAGGAAGCATTGACTGATATATAAACGAATCATTATATGAGTTCTACAATGAACTCGCTCATGCACTAGTCTATTTTATTTTATAAAGTGATGAATTGAAAACTTATTTTCATAAGTGAATCGAACATATCTTTAAATATCTGTTGTTATGTCGGTTGTCGGTTTAATTCCTTGTGATTTCAGTAACTAGCGTCATCTCTATGTTGAGTAATGTCATTGGTATTTTTAATAAGTGAACTTTATTTATTTAAATTTATTTAAACTAATGGCAAATAGTTCTATAAAAATAATGATGAAGATGTAAACAACTCCATTTTAAAGAACAATCGATCGGCATATGACTTTTTAGCTTACAAGTACAAGAAATTATATAAAAAAAAAAGAATAAAGTTAAGCTTCATACTTTGTACGATGATTTAAATTCGACATCTTACATATCATACATGTTCCTCGGACAATTTTGATCGTGATCTTGTAAACAATCAAGTTATACATGGGACAGTACAAAAGTGTTTTCGCCAGCCCTTTAAACAAATATTCAAAAGCTGGTTCTAGTGTTGCTTTCGAAGATATCGCCCATCAACAACACCTGTAGTTTTGATTAAACTAGATCATAGAAATAGTTTTTGAGATTGTCTTTGGTGAGAAGGACACTGACTTGTTTTAACACATGTAGCATTGTGTTGTTGTTGCTATTGAATTCAATCGCATGTAGTTCGTATTTGAATTTGGATATGGTTTCTGCTCAAAATTCCTTTGTAACTCAGATTTTCTATGATTTCGTATTTTCATAGATATGTTAGGACAGTAATTAACAAACTGACTTTGGTTTACTAGATCTTAATGGGATAGACTTAGTTAAACTAGATTTTGTAAAGAAAATCAGCATGATTCGTTTGTCTATGTTGCTGCTTCGATAAGTCTTCGCTATGCATAAATTACTTTGTAAGGCGACAACTTTCACTTATTTTATTATATTTTTATCATTATAATAAAACTATAATCTGTCAGCATTGATCATGCAGAGTAGAAAATGAAATTAGTTCCTATAAATTTCTTTGATAAATAACAGTTCAACTGAATATGAAACAAATTTCAGTCGTCAATTAGCTAATAATGCACCCATCGGGATTATAACTTTGTAAAATTCTAAACAAATCGGATTAACTGCAATAACTTCTGTTAAAATATTGTTCAGAGTATCTACTATTCATTTGTTTGTTCAATGAGACTCATCGTCAATTATCGCTGTAGTAGCATTTGAAAGTTTCTTCGATTACAGCAGCTAGCGTGTGATCTGATAAGGCTACATTTTCAATACTGAAATAACCCTATCAAAACTCATGAAACAGATTGATTAGTATACGACATGCAGTTACTAATTCTTCTCATGCTCATACTAAATGAGCACAATTTTCCTTGTAAATTAAGTTAATTAACGAGACATGTAAAATTATACTTTGAAAGTGTTCTTATAAAAATTCAAAAGTAATGTAGAAAATGCTCTAACTCTAGCCTGAAAGAAAGGCAAGACTTCTAGGGTTGAAAATTCGCACATGATCCTAAATAATATATTTAAGCATTATGATAGAATTGTTTCACTTAAAATACGTGTTTTAAGAGAGCAAAGCGAAAAAATTTTTGTAATATTCTATGTGATTATCTTTTCATTTTTGAGTAGTACTCGTCGAGACGATTCTGATCTTGGGCTTAGACCTTCATTCTCTTACCACCCTATGACAAACATCTTTGAAATATAATTCACTCTATTTACAATGTTCTTTTTTATGAACATCTTAGAATATTAACAAGATATCTGTCATTATAAAATATTCGACTTTTACTTTTGAATATCAAATGAACAACTTCTATCACAGTTAACTACTGAATAATGGTGATGTTTGGAGTTGCTGAAAGAAGTTCAATCTGTCTTCTTCATCTCAGAAATGTAATTTTCCTTAATAGTGAAACAAGAATGTATCGCATTTTCGATTTTAAGCGAATGCTAAGCTCCCCCTATAAGTTTTTTCTAGTTCCTTCACTACTATTAGAGAGCACCATCTATTAACTTATTTAGAAAAAAAATCATTATAATATTTTGTATTTTGATTGTTCACGTGTCATTGATTCTGAAACTTATTAAATTTTAATTGAGATTTTCATTAGAAGAATAACCTTCACGCTCCGTATTTAAAAATAACCATAAAATGAAAACCGTTCAACGTGTCAATCCATAATATCATTAAACAAACAAATGTGGCGTTTATTTCCGATTGGTTTACATATGCATATCGCTTTTCTCACTCAAAAATGTACATATGTCTTTTTTGTTTTTAAAATAAACGAAAATTTAAAAGAACAATTTTTTTTATTAATAAATTTTTCATTATTTTTATCTATTATGATAAATTATTCTAATGAAATTCTTTCTCATCACCAATCGATTTCTTCGCCATTCTATTTGCATTTACTACTAGAGGCATAGTGAGACGAAGAAAAGAAAGAAACAGTCGATGAATGACTCATTATCGAATACAGGCATTCATCTATATCCTTCTTCCCTTTTTTTTTTTTTTATTTCTTATTGTTGCATCCACCCACACGTTCCTAACTTAATGTTTGCATTGTGCTCCGCCTTGTCTTTACTCTCTCTCTCTCTCAATCGAACATGGGACTAGTTTGTTTAGTATAGATTGTATGAGAAGATAAGAAAACAATTGAATAGAGGCTGCCTGAAAGAACAAATCATGATTTTGGTTGCAAGGCTAAATTTATTTTTTTTTACGTTAGACACAGTCGTCACGCTTATACAGTTCTGTGCGTTTGAATCATACAGAGACTATGTTTAAAGTACAAAGAATATCTAATTCCTTGTTTCTTGTCTTTTGTATGTATTTAGAAAGCTTCTTTTTTTTTTTTATTACATCTTTAAGATCTCAATAAAATACTCACATATGGCCGGACAATTACCAATTAAATTTCAAGAACATTTACAAGTAAAGAAATTTCTCTTTTTTTTTATTATTATTAATTTGAATTAAATTATTAATTTCTAGCTTCAAAATGTTGGTATCAATGTTACCAATATTGGATTTAGTTCACTTACAATGGAATCTGATAAATTTATTTGTGTACGTGAAAAAGTAAATGATACAGCTTTTGTTATTATTATTGATATGGCTGATCCAAATAATCCTATTAAACGACCAATTACAGCTGATTCAGCCATTATGAATCCAACAAGTAAAGTTATTGCATTAAAAGGTAAATGAATGAAAATATTCAAAAGCAAAAGAAGAAAGTTTTTTTTTGATTATTAGCTGGTAAAACATTACAAATTTTTAATATTGAATTACGTAGTCGAATGAAAACATATAATATGACAGAAGATTGTATTTTTTGGAAATGGATTAGTATTAATACAATAGGTATAGTAACTGAAACATCTGTTTATCATTGGTCAATGGAAGGTGAAAGTCAACCGGTTAAAATGTTTGATCGTCATCAAAGTTTAGTTGGTTGTCAAATAATTAATTATCGTACAGATGAATCATTACAATGGTTACTTGTTATTGGTAAGATTAAAAAAAAAAAAAAAAACAATAAAAACTCGATAATTTATTGTTCATGTTATTGATTTATTTGTTTTATTTTATAGGTATTCAAGCACAGGATAGTCGTGTTGTTGGTCATATGCAACTTTATTCTGTTGAACGTAAAGTATCACAACCAATTGAAGGACATGCTGCTGCATTTACACAATTTAAAATCAATGGAAATAAAAAACCATCAACACTTTTTTCATTTGCTGTACGAGGACCACAAGGAGGAAAAGTAATAGAAATATTCAAATATTTATTTAAATTCAAATTTATTTATTTATTTTTTTAAGCTTCATATTATTGAAGTTGGAGCACCACCACCAGATAATCAACCATTTGTCAAAAAAGCTATTGATGTACAATTTCCAGCTGAAGCACCAAATGATTTTCCTGTTGCTATGCAAACATCACCAAAACATGGTGTTATTTATTTAGTTACTAAATATGGTTATATACATGTATTTGATATTGAAAGTGGAACATTAATTTATATGAATCGTATTAGTGCTGATACAATGTTTGTTACAGCACCATACGAACCAACATCGGGTATTATTGCTGTTAATCGTAAAGGACAAGTAAAGAAAAAATTTATTTAAAAAAAAAAGTAATAATTATTTTTCTTTATTATTTTAAAAGGTTCTTTCAGTTAGTGTTGATGAAGATAATGTTGTATCATATATACAAAATGTATTAGGCAATGCTGATTTAGCTTATAAAATGTCAGCAAGATGTAATTTACCAGGTGCTGATCAATTATTTCTTGCAAGATTTACACAATTATTTCAAAGTGGAAATTATAGTGAAGCAGCTAAAGTTGCTGCTACAGCACCAAGGGTAAATTGTTTTAATTTAAATATTGATAAAAAATTAACAAATATTCTAAAAATTTCTTCTTATATTTCGAAATTCGATCAACTTTTTCTTTTGGAAAATTAATACAAAAAAATTTTCATTTTAAACTTTATTTATAATGATACCTTACAATAACCTTGCAATTTGTTTTTTCATGTAAAAATACTTTTATGGCTTATATAATAAATAGAGTACTATAGATAAATTCTATTCTATTCTAGAGAATAGAGCTAGTGGTAAATTTTACTTTAAGTGCTATCTTAAGAATCAATGATTTCTATTATATATATATATAGGACTATTCGAATCCTACACTC